GCGCCTGTTTGTTTCTTACCGTGCATCTATCTATGGGTTTATAAATGCTTGTAGACCACTTCTGGAACTTGATAAGGCAGATCTGAAGGGAAAATACTTGGGTACATTACTTTGTGCTGCAGCTGTTGATGCTGACGATGCATTGTTTCCCTTGGCAATAGCTATTGTTGATCTGGAAAGTGATGAAAATTGGATGTGGTTCATGTCAGAGTTGAGGAAGCTTCTTGGTGTAAACACTGAAAACATGCCTAGACTTACAATACTATCTGAAAGACAGCAAGGCATTGTAGATGCTGTAGAAACCCATTTTCCAAGTGCTTTTCATGGTTTTTGTCTACGATTTGTCAGTGAAAATTTTCGTGATACATTTAAGAACACAAAGTTGGTGAATATTTTCTGGAATGCTGTTTATGCTCTCACTACTGTTGAATTTGAGAGCAAAATATCTGAGATGGTAGAGATCTCACAGGATGTTATACAATGGTTTCAACACTTCCCTCCCCAGCTCTGGGCAGTAGCATATTTTGAAGGAGTTCGATATGGCCATTTTACACTAGGTGTGACGGAGTTGTTGTATAATTGGGCCCTTGAATGTCATGAGCTGCCTGTTGTGCAAATGATGGAACATATTCGCCATCAACTAACCTCTTGGTTTAACAATCGTCGTGAAATGGGAATGAGGTGGACCTCGATTCTTGTGCCATCTGCTGAGAAGCGGATTTTAGAGGCAATTGCAGATGCTCGTTGCTATCAAGTACTTAGAGCAAATGAAGTTGAATTTGAGATTGTCTCAACTGAGAGGACGAATATTGTGGATATTAGAAGTCGTGTGTGTTCCTGTCGCCGTTGGCAGCTGTATGGTTTACCATGTGCACATGCTGCAGCAGCACTTATTTCTTGTGGGCAGAATGCTCATCTGTTTGCTGAACCTTGTTTCACAGTGGCAAGCTATCGTGAGACATATTCCCAGATGATAAATCCTATTCCAGATAAGAGCATTTGGAAGGAGCAAGGTGAGGGAGCTGAGGGTGGAGCTGCCAAGCTTGATATCACAATACGCCCTCCCAAGACTCGCCGGCCACCTGGCAGACCAAAAAAGAAAGTTCTTCGTGTAGAGAATTTGAAGCGCCCAAAGAGAGTTGTTCAATGTGGTAGATGCCATTTATTAGGACATTCTCAAAAGAAATGCACAATGCCAATTTGACCCCTATTTAGCTTCTTTTCTGTTTTGTTTTTTCCTTCCCTATTACCCTTTAATATTTTCTTCTGAAATCCCAATAGAATCAGAGTCATGTTTGTAATCTTATTGTATGTTTTTAACATTCTAGTTTCATAATAAGCATCCACTACTTTTGCTTCAACTTGTCCATCTTCTGCTCATTGCTGCAGCTTGTTCGTGTTTCCAATCCAGCTTTCCTTTTATAAGCACATAACAAGTAAATTATTGTCATCTTATATTTGAAAGATATTATGTATTTCATATTATTGTTTCAGTTTTTACAGGTTTATCCGAAATTTGTCAGCTACATGTATATAAAACTTCATGATCAACTTCTGCTGTGCTAATTGATGTTTCTGGACCTTGAATCACTATTCTATAGGGGATAAGTCATTTCCATTTGATGATTTTTTCAGGTAAGTGCTATGACATTTACAGTTTTCCATCCTCGCTGTCGATGGTTAAAAGGCAAGTTTTGTGTATATCTAATGTGCTTTCTCCCTTAGCTCAGTCATGCTCAGTCTGTTTTGCCAACTGTTTTTTTTATACCAGGTCTGATAGCTGGAGTGGTAATGTGTGTCTCGCTTGGAAGCTGCAGATATCGCTGCTGGTGGACTCTTGGTTGAGCATAAGCCCAGAAAAGGATAGGCATGTGCCTTCCAGTTGCATTTTCTTTTTCTTGGTTACTTCTCATTATCCTCTCATTTTGATTGTTTATTTTATAAGACTTATTTTATCATTGATTTGTATTATTAGTTGTTCATAATAGATTTTGGGGCATAGGGACAGTTATAGACCGCACCAGAGGCCAGGCTCCTCCCAGGCCTATGGGCTTGGCTTGGCTCAGGTTGGGTGCTACTCAGAATTTTTCTAGACCTGTCTGGTGAGATCTTTTTTTATTTTAGTTCTAAAATATGATTAAAATATTTTTAAGATTTTAATAATAAAATAAATTTTAAATGGGTGGATTGGGTCAGGTAAAGGCCTAGGTTTTGGAGGTACCAATTGGCTGGACTCAAGCTGGGCCCTCGATAGGATTTTTCTAGGCCCGTAGCATGAGCTATTTTATTACTAAATAATTATTTTATTTTAAAATGTATTTAAAATATTAATATAAAAATATTTGTATATTTTAATAATAAATAAATTTTAAACAAATGGGTTGGGTCAAGTCAGGGCCTAGGTTTAAGAGGTGCTAATTGGGTCCTTGTTGGCTCGGCCCATGAACGTCTCTAGATAGTTATAAGGCTGTAATTTAATTTCAATTATTCTCATTACTTTCTTTGATATGGGTGACGACATGCTATCTGCTACATTACTTATTTGCTATGATTTGTGTTATGTTATAAAACAATGTTTCAAAAGTTGATATTGTCCTCATGAGTTTACAAAGCATGTGCATCTTTAAGTAGATGTGCACTTGATACTTTTTTGCTAGATGCTTTTTTGCTTGGATTTGGTCTTGGAAGGTGCTGCTGTTTAAAAGTGGTGTGGGGTTTTCTTTGTTTTCTGTAGTCATATGCATTCTCTGATGACCATTTTTTGATGAGTTTGAGGGAATAAGGTTTTGTGAGGTTAGATATTTAGATCTATGTATGGTTGTGTATTTTCTGAATTGCATTCATTTTGGTCCTGGCATCTGCTTTTTGTTTGTGCATTTTTAAGCCTGATATTATAGAGTGGAGAAATTTCATGTCTTTGATGATGAACTCTTTAGCAAATCTTTGTTTTTATTTCCATAACTGTCCCATGACTACTGCTTACCATGATTTTATTGCAAGATTTAAGTTATTTCCTCATCTATTGTGATTGAGGTTACCTGGTCTAGAGTAGATTTAACTTGCTTCTTGAAACCTGGGATCACATATCTGCATCTATATAAGCTATAATATAGTTTTGTTCTGTTCTATCCCTGACTTGACATAAAAATTGTTTGCAAAGCTTTGTTTTGAATCTTGCCTGTCTCTTTCTTTAAGACATGAACACCACTGTTTTTGCATTTATTATCAGATGAAAAAACTATCTCCTTATATGTCGTGATTATTATCTGATTCTTGCTTACCCATTTTTTTGATGATGAACTCTTGAGAAAATCTTGGTATTTATTTCCCAACATGTCTCATGAATGGCTTCCATTGTGTTATTGCATGAGTTTAAAATATTTCCATGTCTGTCTGGGTGAGGCTTAATTCTGGTGTATTCCTAAGTTGATATTAAGCCTTTGGTCAAATTATGCATTTGGTCATTGTATTTTGTCTAAGTAGTGGATGTAATGTTGTATAATAATTTGTAAAAGTCGAGTTTTGTACTTTTGAATGTCAGTTCAATCATTAATGATGACAATTTTTCTATCATATACTTTAATGAGGAGTTTTGATTGAAGCTGATTTGATTTTTTTTTTGTTTGATGTGGTGTTGAATTTATTGATATGATATTTTTACATGCAATAATATGACATTATTGACTGGTGTTGATGTGATGATGATGTGGTATTTTTGGTAATTTAAAAAATAAAAAAAATAATTGCTTTATTATCAAAAGAAGCAAGGAAATGAGAATTAATTAGACAAGAAATAATATAAATATGCGTTCGAATATTTAGTTTTTGGTGTATAATCTTTCTGTTTAAAGAGCAGGATCGAATCTTTCTTTTCTCAATTATAAAAAAAAATAAGACAAAAAACATGTAAGAATTGTGTGCTCAAGTGATATTTTGTTTTTTTAAGAAATGAGAGATAAGTTGATGATAAGTAGATGAAAAGAGGGTTTGAAAATTTTAAACCAAACAAATACAGAGAAATTGAAAGATATGAACTTAAATTTTGAAACCAAGAATTTTTATTCTTTTAGGGTTAGGCAATGAAGAGAAATTTGGATAGAAGGAAACTGTAGGTACAAAGTTAGAAGAGATTTCAAAGAAGGGATCCAAAAGTAAATGTCCACTTTGAGGCCTTTGATATGGGCCAAAAATCAAATAAAGAGATTCTCTTGAACTTTGCTTTCGAGAGAGGGTGAGAAGGGAGTTTGGGCTGCACCAAGAAAAGAAGATGACACTTTTTCTTTTTTGTTTTGTTTTTCTTGCCAATAAGAAGAAAAGAAGATGACATTGCTTGGATCCAACTTTCGGACTCTTCTTATTCTTGTTTCTTTGGTTAATACAGCAGTTATTTTTATAATTTTTTTCAAATTGCTAAAAATGTCAAGGTCACATTAGCATCATGTTAGTACTATCCTTATATTTGGCAATATTTTGCACACAATACAGTAATACGACATAGAAGAATTAAGCAGGTTTAGAGTTAAGATAATCCTATTTTGTGTCATAAATGTGTTAAATTCACTTAATTTGTTTAGTTAATTGTGTTATATTTGTAATAAACATACGTGTACATATTTAGAATTTAGATACGTTTAATTAGTCTTGTCATGTTTGTGTTAATATTTTATATTTACATGACAAAGTTAAGACACAAATATAAATTGTCAAATCTAATTGTCATTATATCATTTACAAAATGTCACATCATCATTACTATACTATCAAATTCCAACACTAACAAGAGAATGTTAAGTTTACATCCTGAAAGAATTTAAATATTATTAACATTGGACTAATATTGTAAATTTTTTTAAAAAAATTGATTTTTACAAATTATCATATGAAAATTAATAACACAATTTTTTTTTTAAAAAAATTAGTTAATATCAGCTTATTTTCTGTTTCTTCTAGCAAATCCGGCCCATGGATATGCCTAGCCCAAGAACATGCAAATTCCATTTTCACACTAAAAACCCTGAAACCAGAGAACCGAACCGACTCAAAAGCAATGGAGTTGGCGAACAAGCTGGTGGCGCTAGCAGGCAGGGCAGCGAACAACAACGTAGTGATCGACGCGTGCTTGGTGACCTCATTCGCGGTGCTAGGCATTCGATCTCTCAAACAGCAGAAGGATATAGAAGCCCTGGAAGCCGAGAAGGATTCCTTGACCAAAACCAACAAGGCTATGAAAAAGGCCATCTGGGATTGGAAGCAGCAGCTCTTTGCTGAAGCCGACTCTGACTCCCCTCTTGTCCCTCTCGCTAGGCTCAAAGCCATATATGGCGAAGCCCCATCTCCTGCAATTGGTAATTTTCTTTTCGTTTTTTGTGATAGAAATATATATATTTTATGGTTGCCTACACATATTCTCCAATATATGTGTTGACATCATATTTGAGACATGTTTCAATTGAAATTTTTCCTATCAGAATACCAAAAATTGGTCTGTTGCCAGATGGATCCGCACAAATCCTTCAATGTGAAACACTTTAAAGTGGATTTTTTTTTTAAAAAAAAAATTATATACCATTTCCAATCCAATTGGGTTTGCTTTGTATCTGTGTCAGGAGATGCTACAGAAGAAGATGCAAAATCTCCAGCCTCCAAATTTGTAGTCTGAACTCTATATTGGATTAGCTAACTTTTGAGGGCGCAAGAGTTCTGTGTAACCAATCAAAATTTAGTGGACAAAGAGTCCAATATCTGGCCTTACCTCCGAGCGTTGGATCCTTTGTATTCAGTTTTGTGCTGGCACTGTAATCCTAATGGTAAAGAAGTCAACAATCAGTCAAGGAGCTGTTGTTGTTAGATAACATTATTACTATTCCATCACTTACATAATAATTGTGTTGTATTGTTTGCTCCAAGCTTGGGTGAAAGCTTCTCCAAATCCTGGCAGGAGTAACAAGATTCATTGAGGTAAATGTTTTGATCGTATGCAGCTGCATTTGCAGTAACACACCATCTTAATTGAAGTTCATTAGAGGAAATAAAGTGGGTTGTTTAGGCTAGTGCTGAGTGTTTTTAGTTGAGTGATGGTAGCTCGACTGATTCATTTTCTTTGTTATCAAAACATTGCAATGCTCGTGATATTGGTGGTCATGTTCCACACTCCATCCATGTCTTTCAGCTATCGTCTCCCTCTTAACTATCAAGCTTTTGCTCAAAGAAAATGTAATTCCGGGATGCGGCTAATTTCACATGAATACTCTGATGATCAATCCCAGCAACGATTGGGTTGATTTTCCACCTGGCATCAATTCAAGACTCATAACTTTATCATTCGATAATTTATTGTAGGAATTTTTTTTTTGCTGAAACAATTATATGTATTAAGTTTAAACAAGAACAATATCCATGATTACTTTTAATATCTTACAATAAAAATAAATTTTTGAAGAAATGGGGCAAATCAAAGTGTTTGGCAAATAATAAAAATCAAACTCATGACAGTTAAAGGCGGTTAATTCGATATATGGTAGATAAGAGTATTATTAATTTAGGTCTAATTTTCTACATGTAATCTAACTAGATCTCCTACTTCTTATAGGGTTTAGATAAAGAAAGTATATGTACGTACGTACTTTTCTACACTAATCCATCTCCTATTCCTTACAGGATTTAGCTAAAAAAAAAGTACACATATAGAAGTAATTAAAAGCTTCTGCTGTATATTCTTTGTACGCAGCCCTTGTAAAATTGTCTACAATCATGTCAAACCGCATAATTCCCATGGATGCAGTGAGCGGCATACTGAGTCTCCTCCCCGTCAAGAGTCTTCTTCGTTTCAAGAGCGTGTCAAAGGAATGGTGTTCCTTCATCAACGAGCCTTATTTCATCAAACTCCATCTCTCTCAATCTATGGAAACCAACAGGTATAATCGCAACATTATATTTAAAGATGTTGAATCCGGTAAACTCCTCTCTGTAGATTTTGATTCCATCAATTTCCAAAACCTCAAAGCAATCAATCACCCATTGAAGCATCTTAGTGGGTGTGGTGCTGAAGATGATTATGGAGATATCCAAGTTTTTGGTTCATGCAACGGGTTACTTTGCTTAATCAACAAAAGATATAGGATAATCGAGTTGTGGAACATCTTGACAGGGATTACAGTCTTACCAGATGAGTTTGTTGAAACCAATAAGTGCAACTTGGGGAGGTTTGGTATTTCTATGGTTTCGGGCATGACTCGATCCATGACGATTACAAGATAGTAAGAGTTGCACAAGAGGTTGACTCAATAAACTATACACTTATAAGTGAAGTAAAAGTTTATAGTTTAAAAACAAATACATGGAGAAAGGGTGAAGAGATCCCCTACTATTTTCGTAACCGTTTAGTAATGGGTACGTTTATTTGTGGGGCTTTACACTGGCTTGCAGTTGAAGAAAGAGAATGGGAATGTCCCAGCAGCATCATTGCCTTCGATGTTGGAATTGAGAAATATCGCCAAATAGAGCTAGTCGACAACATAGAACGCAATGCCTATAGCATGGTTCCAAAGGCTTTGCAAGGATGTCTTTGTATAATTACGACTTGTTTCAACAATGACGTTAATATATGGATGATGAAGGATTATGGGGTGAAAGACTCTTGGACAATACTGTATAGTTTCCAGGGAAATATACCTTCGGCGCCTCATGTATACCCTTTGAGGCCTCTGGCTTATTCAAGGACTGGTGACCGACTTCTACTACACCACGAAGGCTTATCTCTTTTATGGTATGACCTAAAAGAGAATCAGTTTGAAAGGGTCGACCTTCCTCAATTGAAAAATGTTAAAACCTTTCTTCTGGAGATTTGTGTGGAAAGTCTCGTTCAACTTGGTAAATCAATTTGAGCATAAACAAGATTAAAGATTGGAGAAGAAGAAGTCGAAATATTGGCGCACGATTTTTGATCTTTTATTTATTTGTTATCATAAATATATAACTTTTCTTTGTCCCTTCTTTCGTCAAATATATATATATATATATGTAACTTCTACATTGACCCTTTAGTCTTTTTAAAGAATATTAATTGTTGTCTTTTAAAGGAATAAGAGAACATTTGTCTCGTGTCAAATCCATCCAATCATCAATATATACATATAAGATCAAGTTTCAATTTCAGATTTTACTATCTAAATCCATACAACCCCAAAAAAAAACATAATTTATTTTATTATTTCATGGAAGCTTTTCAATTTGTCTCTAAATTAAGAAAATTGTGCATCAAATATTCAAAGTCAAAGCCGGTTCAATCGACAACCATATGCAATGGGTTCGAATGTTGACATTTCATTAAGGTTTTTAATTACTAGCATTATGTACCCTTTCCAAGTACTAAATCAAAACCCAATGATTCTTAATTAGCTTACACTATCAATGAAAGATAACCTTTACGGTATTTCCTGCTAATTGGACTAGAAGACATTTAGAATACATATAACTTGAAACTTGCTTTTCAACTTGTTTTTCGGATTAATGCATGCAAGCTGTACGTAGTTCTTGCACTTTGGCTCAATGTTCATTCAATATCTCACCTAGACTTTTTACCGAAAGAACCATTTACAGATTTACTCATCCTCGTATAATTTTGTGGAGAGATTGAAAACAAACATATTGAGCTTAAAATCAACATCTTAGTTCCTACCTTTTATCAAAGTTTGGTGCGGGGAGACAATTCTTTTCAACGCAAAACAAGTAATATCAATGTTTGTTTCCCTAGATATACTGTTGACAGTTTAATTGAATTCTCAATCGCCTTTGTAAGCTAACTGTTATCCGTATGTTAACTACTGATGCCATAAATTAAGGAACTAAACAAATTTTTCTAGTTGGGAACTAAGTTAAACCCAAGCTGGAAAACTTAACATCAACGCATTCAAGATCACAAACTTGAACTGCTAAGATCTTCTCCAAGCCATAGAGGGCATTGATGAACTTCATGACCATGGAGAACCGACGGCACTGAAGGGTTGGGTAAAGAGTACTGCCCCCTGATTTTGATATCTTGCTATAAAACAAAAATGGTAGTCAATTTCCATACCAACATATAGAGTCTTTGAATGAATAATCGGAAGTTCTTGGTGCAGATGAAATTAGGTGTCATCTCTTTTGAATTTTAGAGAATGAATTCAAGACTTCAATCCGCCAGACTGTGATGTTTAGTCATTTTCCCTTTGTATCGATCAACCTCCTCTTTATAATACAGTGGAAATTTTCCATCCAAATTTAGTAGTGGATGACTATGATGTTACGTGCTAACCATCAAAGCATAGCATGCTATCCTCTGCATAGGCTTTCACAGTTTCCATTCATCAAAGACACCTATTTTCTCGTCATTTGTACTAAGTTGAAGGCTTAAAGCAACCCCCCTTTTCTCTTACATACATACATACATATATACATATATATATATATATATATATATATATGGAAAGAGAGAGCTACAGTACTTCGGCCATAGACTTAAAAAAAAAGAGCCTTTGAGCATTAGCCAGTAAAGGACGTACATCAGAAACATCCATATCTCGAGCGAGTGGCTTGGTTGTTGAGTAATCGAAACGGTGAATTGGTCATAAAAATACGACGCCGTCGATTGCTTTTAGTCAATTGTTTGTTTATTGTTTTTCTCAATCCAGTGGATTGTCAAGTGTAAATGTTTGGTAATCGTCCACTTTTCCCAATGCAGTCAACTTTCTTCTCATTCTTACACACATACGCGCTTAATTTGCTGCTTCACATTGATTTTTGAATAGCACTAGGACGTGTACGTTAAGCTATAAGTTAAGAAGAAAGCCGAGGATTGAATCGTTGACTGGAGTTGCCTAAGTTCCTTTTCAATAATTGGGAGTCTTGATCAGTAATATACAGGAATAGGACCCTCAATTCTTCATTTCAACTTCAAGCCCACGTTTTATAGGAGAATATGCAGCTTCTAAGAATATACAGGCGAAGTGGGGCAACTTTTAATGAATTCAGCCTGCAAAATTAGGCAAAGGGATACTTAGTGCCTTCCCTTCTTGGAAGTACCTTTTGCCACAACTTGCACATTTGTTAGTTGTGGTAGCACCTTACGTCTAACATTGAAATGCAGGTGGGCTAACAGCTCAATTCCCTCTTCTTTTCTTAATTACTGAACCGAATTTTTACATGTCTAGTATTTCATATGGTTAGTACTCCTCATAAATAAGATTGGGTTTCCCTTTTTATCCATTTCTTTGGGGTCTCCTTTATGTTTTTTCTGACCAATTGAAGGCCAACCCAAACACTTTGGTTGGGAGGGCTGGTGCTGATTCTAGCATATTCATGACCAATTTGGAGGAAGATTATTTTGATATACCTGACATTTTGTTAATTTCACAATAATTAGTATAAGCATGTAGGGTTTTTTATTTTGGTAAAATTTTAATATGCTTAATTTTAAATTTCAATTTTATTATACTACATGTTGACTCAATTAATAAATTCGTTTATCTAACTTGTTAGTGATTTATCCATTCCTATACAATGAAATAGATAATTATTTTGAACATATGTATCCCATTATTGAAATTAGAGTAACCTATATGCCCAAATTTTTATGGCCAAAAAACTTCAATTTTGTTTGATGCAATGTGGAAGAGACCACCCTTGTGAGCCAGGAAAACTTCTATTACAAGAATGTATACTTCTCTGTCAATGGCCTAAACAGTTGATCCATGTGCTCCAATTTGCCCCCAAGTAATTGAGTAACTTCTCCTCTGCTCACTCACATTTTGCTTTGGTAGTTGCCTTGATCAAACGTCTTCTAACTAAGCTATCTTAGTGGGCACATATAGAGATACAAAACGTTGCTGGTCTGCTCAATGCATGACTTCTGATCGTTGTCTCTACCTCTCCAATCAAACCATAGTTGGTGGCAATCCAATCCCTGGAAAGTGGAAACCCTTGGCCATGGCCCATGCCCCTTCTTGCTTGTTGAAACATGGAAAAGTAATTTTCTTCATTTAACTGTTTCATAGTTTCATTTTGCAATTTGTTAAACAGGCGTAGAGACTACGACAATGAACAAGAAAAAGCAACCAGGATCGAGTAGGGTCCTCGAGGAAAAGAATCTTTTTGGCATATTATTATGTGCTCACTGTCCTAGTTCAATTGGTTTGGTTGATTTTAGACCTTCAGCTTTTCTTCAAAATCTCAACCATCCAAGGAAATGGAGTCAGCTTGTCTTATTTTAATTTCATTTTGTCACCCTCAAAACTCTGCTGTATTTAGCCTGTAACTCTATAGACCAAGGCTCAAAGGGTAGAAACAACACTCAACACCCTTTATCATCACGAGTTATTTCAACACCGAAAGT